ATAAATACATGTTAAGGCAATATTAAATCACTCAATGACCTAGACAAGGCAGCAACATGAGTTTTACTTTAAATGTTTATGAACATTTGATTTGATTCGTTTTCACTAAGGAGAAATCTAAGATTCAGAGATCCTGATTTCACACGAATTGCTTCATCTAGGAGCCCTTCAGGATTTAGCATTTTCCACTGGTATAGCTCCATTAACATGCAGCAAACAAGCTCAGCTCCTTAGATCCTCATCATGTAAATCCTTGTGTAGTTATCATGCTCATATTGAACAATTTCAGAGCCGCGTCTAGCTCTGGACCATGCTGGCTAAACCAGATTAGGTTTAAAACAGAGAATCTAAGAGATGTGCACCTAATACGAATAGTTTTCCCTCCATATGTTGCACCTCAGTGTCTTGTTCTGAAGATTCTGTCAGAATGTAGCTATCTTTTCTAGATAACACCACTTATGTACATCAGTCCTGATGTGACTGATGAGAACATCCCATGTTAGTTATTAATTACATTGTTACAACCCCCCCAACTAACACAAAAATCAGTTAACTAAAAGATGATGTCATTAGAAAAATAATTTATTTCACAATTTGCAGGGGTCGCAGAATACAGCAAACAGCAAAACAGGGAAGCTTTAAGGATCAGGGTTTCCAAGGCTAAAACAACAACGCCCCCCACCCCACACCCCCATTTATAAACCAATACACTTTCTAACACAGAAATGAAAAGAAAGTACAATACCTGAACTCCATGGCTCAAGGAAAAAAATCAAGAAAAAAATGGCAGAGAACCCCTACCAGCTTCCACTGTGAACAGTAAAATGTTTAAGTTTGCCAATTGTTTAACATGAACACACAGTAACAGTCAGCTCACAGACAAGATCTCTGCAGATCAAGGGCCAGTGAATAAGAGAAAAAGGGTGTCTGACATTAGCCTGACGTAGTCCGACTCAATTCTAGTCAGAATATGAGTCTGATACGGCTCCATAGAGCTGTGATTATGGGGCGTGTTTTGAACGAACCAGGAAAAAAAATGCCTCTGCACTCAATTGGATAGACCTACAATTAAGAGCAACGGAGTGCGTGACGTATGTTAAGCGAGGCATAGTTGTTGTCCACAAAAATCAAAGCATGCAGTTGCACGCCTATAATAAGAAGATGAGACTTGATCGCGTTTCTCTGTTCCTCTTTTAAAATTAATTTGCTGTCGATATCTTCTAGAACAGACCTAATAGCAGAATCTACTCACCTCAACTCTCCAGCAGCAGCCATTATTGTTGTCACCCAAGCGCGCATTGGTCACGTGGTTGATTACGTTACTGTTGGACATCTGTCTATCATCGTATAAAGCCCGCCCTGACAATTTGATTGGATCGCCTGACAGTGGGCGATTATACTCGCGCTACTATGGAGCAGAGCCAGACCGAACTTCCCGACCTCAAACTTTGTGGGCGGGACTAAGTTCGGAATGGCACCCAGGCTAGTCTGACATCTCAGGGTTGAAGCTCTTTATGAGGTGGCTGACGAGCTTCAAAAAATTGCACCTGTAACAGCCAGGTAGACCTGAAACACAAAGAGAGAGCTCTCTCATGAAGACAGCTCCTAGAGGTCAGTGACTGTAACATAGATAAAAACAATGAGCAGGTGCATCCACTGAAATAGTTTATTGTCAGTGGTTTGGGGAAGTGTATCAGAAACCTACAGCGAAGAGTTTCACATCATTTTAGGTTTCACGTGTGGGAATGGGCACAGTGCTTCTCTGAATAAAGGATATTTCTGGTACAAATGCAACATGTGAAGGTTTTCAAAAGTCAGAAGCAAGGAGTCATTCTCATCACGTGGATTAAAGCTGACGTGGATTTAATCGTTACTGTGGGTATTGCCTTCCTTCTCTTGTACCTTTTTATTTTAAGTTGTATCCAGCTGAAATGTTCTCCCATGCAGGTCCCATCAGACCATGGTGATTGGTGGATTTTGTCTTGTTAATAGATTTGCATTTGGAACTATTTTAATCATGGTTAATGTATTGAAGAGCAGCGGGTCTTGTCTACTTGTGCTTTTCTTTGCTTTGTGAAGGCAGAAATGGACGTTTTGTGCCTGTGTTGTGCTTTCTCAGCTGTTCTCGATGCTCTTGGACACGTAGCATCATGTGAGTCATGGAGAGAAAATGTAAGTCATGGGGTCATAATGACTAATAATCCCCACCTCACTCTCAGCCCATTTTCTCCCATTTCATGCTACCCGGCATGCCAATCCTGCCCTATCCCCCCATCCCATCCCACCCCCTCTCTGATTCTACTGTCTGGTGGCATCACATTCAGTATCTATCTGGCTGCTGAAACATATCTATAC